TTTTTTTTTTTTTTTTTTACCACGCAGTCACTGGTTAATGGTGCTTCTGCTGGTCATTATTTCAATTATTTGTCTTTGGTACGGTTGAGTAAGGAATACAATATCTGCACCCCACCCAGCGTAACGAAAGTCAAGGAAAGCTGTGGCAGTATCTTTTCCATACTACCCTTCACATTTGGTGTTTTTTTTTTTTTTTCTTTTTCCCCTTAATGATCTTTTTTTTTTTTTTTTTTTTCCCCTTAAATGATCGTTCATTGATTATGAGCTGGACTATTGGAGTAACTTTTGTGTTTTAAATTTATTTCTAGAAGTAAATAATACTCTAAATTTTGAATCGTTATTTCTTCATTATTTTGGTTATAATTAAACACTTACTGCAACAATCAAGCCTTCCTCCCAAATTATGAGGTTGGCTCCATGAATTTTAAATATTCACTTCCATCAAATTAATATTAATGTAGAGTATAATACGAGCGAAAAAACGATTTTGAAAATACTTTTTTAAAAAAAAATTTAAAGGAGAATTTTAAAATCATTCATTATATTAATAATTCGAAGAAAACATAAAATTTTGATGGAAAATTATGATTGTATCCATATGGAATATTAAAATTAACTTGTGTCTATCATTGTATTTTAGAAAATATATTAATATATTTCTAATTTTTGCTTTTATTAAATTATTTGGTCATTCTAGAATTAATATATGAGACCCACACACATGTAAAAAAAAAAGAAAAAAAAGAAAAAGGAAGATTCAACATGCATACAACAAACTTAAAAGCTGTATATACGTTATGAAAGAGAATTAAAAAAAAAAAAAAAAAAAAAACAATGAAGAAGCGCAAGTCGCACATGAGTCTGATACACATCTCAATGGACTACACTTTTGCTTCTCTGTTAAATAATATAAATGAGTAGGAGAATTGATTCTTCTTATGGACAAAACACACCACATAAAACAACACTAGACGTCTATAATGTTAGAAAAGAAGGTTCTAATAAATTAAGAAAAGAGAGAAATACCGTAGCAGGAGAGAAAATAGTGAGAATTATAATTTTTGAGATGTTTTTTTGAGAAATACTTAGAGTATTACTATTTTTATAATTTCTTTTGTACCTACTATTTTATAGTAGAAGAATTATTCGGTGTTTTTAAATCAAAAAGAAAAAGAAATGAAGAACACAAAAATTGCATGAGTCACTATCCTCTTTGCTTCAAGACCTTCAATAGATACGTGTAATTTTTGTATTAAATAAATGAAAAAATAAAAGCTTTTCCTTTTTTTATTTAAAAAAAGTTCTCACTCTACTTTTGATATATCTCTTTTTTTTAATTATTTTCAATTTATGTTTCTAATTCTTTCTCTTCTAATTACTCTTTTCTTTTCTGAAAATTTGTAATTACTCTTTTTCATTTTTCATGATTTGTGGGTTTTGGGATTTAAAAATAAGAATATATATTTTTAAATCTTAGATGGTTCAATTGAGATTTTCTGAAAATTTGTAATTACTCTTTTTCATTTTTCATGATTTGTGGGTTTTGGGATTTAAAAATAAGAATATATATTTTTAAATCTTAGATGGTTCAATTGAGAATAAAATCAGTGGCTCTTTTTATGCGATTGAACTACTTAGGCACCATGCTTTTTATGCCATGAAAGTTTGTGTTATATATATTGGAAACTGTGAAAACCAGAAGAAAATCTGAGTTCTTTCACCGCTCTCATGTTCTTCATCCAAAGCCCTGCACTAAATTCTCACTAACACTTAATCCACCATAAATTAAAAACCCCATAATTTATTCAAATTGCTTTGTGATTTCTCTTGGAACAGTGTATATATCTATATATACTAGGATGAATCGGCCAAGCGAGCTCAAAACTTATAATATGTTAAATATTAATGATTTGAACCTAAGACTATTTTTATTGAACAAGAAGTTTGTTTGAAATATTTTTAGTTTATTACAGGTTTTTGTGGTTTTAAGCCTATCTAGATTTTATTGTCGATCTGACTCAAGGTATCGGGTCATGAAACATACACACAAAATATTCTATCTTTTGACCCCATAAAATTTAGCATAATTGATAAAAGAGCAATTAAGTTCATAAAGGAACAGTGGTGCTTGATTAGGTTGATTTTGTGGTTGTGTTTTATGGTCTTGTTCGTTGTTCAGATAGGAAGTACAAAGATATATAAAAAAAAAAAAAAAAGAAAAACACAATAGGGCAACACGCATATTGCAACGAGTAGAGAAATAGTACACAGGCAGGAGAGAGAACTTTATAAAGCTCATCAATACTGTTGAGATGGCAAGTTTTTCATTTTAAATATTTTAACGATGCACACGTGAGCTTTTCATCTACTCTTTAATGAAAAATCTAACAGACTGCTTTTTATGTAACACTAATTAAAGTTTATATTTTTTATAATAAGTTGAATTTTAGGAAGATTAATGTATAAGGTCTATAGCTCAAGTTCCATGGGTGAAACTAAGCTGGTCCTCGTATTCATATTGTTTGAGTTATACCATTTGTCAAGCTACAAAAGCAGGCTAAAACTGAGAGATAGAACTTTTATACCTAAATACCCATTAAAAAAAAAAAAATCCTTTTTTCTTTATCTTTTTTCTCTTTACCTTCCTCTTTAGATACAATCTCTATTCCCATCACCTCCACCACCGCCACGTTACCAGCTCATCTCCCATCACAACTGCCACCTCCACCACCGCTCACCTCAAATTGATCCCTCTCCTCGCCCGTGTCCTCTACAATATATGGTTCTTCATTTTCTTTAATTTTTCTATTATTTTTCTAAAATAAAGAAAATTCTCAATTTCATCTTCGAACATGATAATCTCGACATTTTCACCAGGTGTGGCCCTTACATTGGCTCGTCCATTTGCAGTCTCAACTGGACCTCCGATGGCTTAAGGTCTCACCACGGCTGGTGTTGTGACTATATTGAGGTCATGTCTACTTGTCCACACAAGGAGTGTGGCTAGACCTTATTCTACGTTGATCAGTGGCGGGACCGATGTGTGGCCTTTTAAGTTAATGATTGAGCTTGATGGGTATAGTTTGTTGGATGGGTCCTCCTAGTAGATGGTGAAAGGGTAAATTTATTATTAGGAATCGGAGCGAATTCTCTGGTTCTACTTTGTCACCATTTTTCCTATATATATATACACGCACATTTGTTTTATTTTTTTTACAATTTTTAATAGATGAAGTATTATATTATTTACTAATAGGATTTTTAAATAAATTTATTTAATTTATAATTTACATTAGGCTTAATGACTTCAAAAAAACCTAAACTTTTAAGTTTTTTTCAATTTTGGCCCTTTTTTTTTAATTTTATCAATTACAGCATTGAACTTAGTTTTTGCAGCAACTATAGCCTCCGTTCAAGAAGTGTTGGAAGCTCGCTTGACATGGTTGTTAGTGAGATCCACATATTGCCATCTCAAAACCACATGGACCCCAAAAAAAGCAAAATGCTCAATTTTTTATCAAAAAAATAAATTATTTGATATAAATCATATATATAATTAAAAATAATTAAACATTTAATCTAAATAAATATAATTAAAAAATAATGAAACCAGATATATTAGATTAAATTAAACATTAACTCTAAATTAAACTATATTAAAAAATACTGGAACTAATTAAAAATAATTAAACATTTAATCTAAATAAATATAATTAAAAAATAATGAAACCAGAAAATAATAGATACGTTTGTAATCAAATATTTCAATATTATCAAATATTTTTCTAATTTTATACGTTTCTTAAATCAAATATTTGTTTAATTATTTGTCAAAAAATCAAAGATAAAATACTATACTTTTTATAATTATTTTCATATTTTTCTTTCCTAATTTTAAACTTTTAAAATAATTTTATTAGTTAAAATATAAAACATTACTTTAAAAAAAGTGGGCTTTTTGTTCTAATACAATTGTAACTGTAAATTGTATAGAAAATTAATTTTTGGGCAAATTGTATATTACTTTTAAATTTAGAGAGGAAATTGAGATTTATTTCATCTTTTAATTAAAGAAGACAGTAATAGGGTTGACCTTGCCGGATATCTAATAACAAAAAAAAAAAGGTTTTTGAATATTCATTTTTGGAGTATTTTTTGATACGATAATTGATTGATTTCGGAATTTTGATTTCGGAATATAATTATACTATTGATGAAATTTTTTAGTTTGATTACATTAAAAGAAAGAGAAGAATTCATCTAACAATTGCTTGATCTAGGAAGATGTTTTAATTATAACATTGATGATTTTTTTTTCAGTTTAGCTACATTAAAAGAAAGAGTTGAATTTGATTGTTGAAAGATGGAAGGAGGAGTTGGAGTGCTTGACCCCTTTTATTTTTTATTTTTGGTGAGGGGGTGTTTTTTTTTTTTTTTTTTTTTTTTTTTTTATGGCGAGGGGTTTTTTCCTACCATTTTTTGAGGAATTTTCTTTGAGAGTTGAAAGAAGGAAAGGAATTTTCTCATTCTTTTTCAAAGGGTATTTTAATTATAAAATTTTTATCTCTCACTTTTTACGGAGCTTTTGTGGTCTGACAAATAAAATTTTTATTAATATGCACGGAAAGACAAACTATTTATAATGGTAGCAAAATATAAAGATTAAATCATAAAATAGTTTATTTTTAGAAAGACATATCCAAAATAGTTATTTTCAATAAGATACGAAGATAAGATTATAATTTTCAAAAAAAGAAAAAAGAAAAAAGGAAAAAAAAAATTGTGAATTTATGCTTCTAATGTCATATATCAAAGGTATTAATTATGCTCCTAAGGCAGTGCGACCTACCCTGCAGATTGGACGGGGATAAGATCTCACATATTGACTTCGAAGTCAAATAATCAAACCATTATTAATAAATTTCTACCTTTGGCATTTTGCAAATAAAAAAAAAAAAAAAGATTTTTTAAGTTGAAAATAGTCAAATGACATTTTTAAGTTGAAAATAGTCAAATGACAATTATAAAAATGCTTGGAGAGATGCTTATATTACTTCCAAAGTTTGATAAGCTTATCATGGCTAGCAGAAGCAATCAAGCTTGTCAAAGGTGATACAGCTAAGGCACTAATTAATCCTTCATGAGCAGGCACGGTCAGAGTCTTGTTCTCAGCCATATTCCAAAGCTCCAAACACAGGTAACCACCAATGACTAGCAAAGAAGGGTATGTAGGATGGAAAACACAGGAGCGGAATTCGTTGCCAGGCCAACTCATGGCATCACTGCAGTTCTCATCACTCCCTGACAGGAGACTCCACAGTCTAGCAGAGTCATCACTGACAGACGCTAGATACTGTCCAGAAGGATCCCAGGATAAAGAGCTGATTGGCTTGTTATGTCCCCGAAATGAATGCCAGAGAGCTCCTGTCTCAACATCAATTATATTTACAAAATTATAATTAGCAGCAGCAAGATACCTCCCTAGACGCGGCTGAAATCTTATTTGGGCTGTACCACCCTTTGTTATTTTTAGACAAGTACCATTTCCGATACTCCAGTAACGCAGTTCACAATCTGCATCGCAAGAGCAAATAAGATCATCCTTAAATGGGTGGAAATCTATTGACATGATAGAAGTAGAATGTCCTGTAAATGTGCATATTGAGTTATTGGGATCATTTGTATCCCAGACCTTGACAGTTTTATCGAATGAAGATGTTGCGAGCTGTGGCATAATTGGACTAAAACGAACATCTGTAATCAGTGATGAATGTTCTTTAAGGATGGTCTTCGGCTTTAGCTTTTCTCTTTCTGTATCCCACAATACCACCTTTTTATCATTAAAGCTTTTACTGCCTAGTAGTCTCTGTTTATCCCATCTACACTTCAGGCACAGAATTTACTTTGAGAGTTATGTTACGCAACGCAACATAGAGACAAAGGACATTTTCCGAGTCTGGAAAATGATGTAAGGAGTGCGCAACACGACAGAACTAACTTTTAGGCGCATGCACTTGCTTCTAGGCAAAGGATTGCTGACTTCTCATATGTGTGAGTGTCGCGGTAGGGATGTAGAAAACCAACCGGATTAATATCAATGTTTACGAGCCAACTTTCACTTCGATCAACGATGGTCTATCTGCCACACACGTGCATATTCTTATATTAGCCCATCGCGATAGTACTAGCTCTCGCACTATATGCCTCCCGAGAATTAATGATTTTATTCTCTCTATATTCTCTTGTTTTTAGCATAGAGATAGATAAGGCTGAGAGATATTAGCATGTGTCCTGTATAGTTTTCCAAACAATATTAAGAGGCTTTGCACAGAGCATTGTATGAATGAAGTCTTTTGAAGGTTTTCTTTTCAGAATTGCGAAAAAGCATGGAAGTTTTGACCATTTAAAGATTATAATTAACATATGAGCATAAAGGAGTGATGAGAGAGAATATATATGCTAAGTGGTCGCTGAGGGCGTATTCTTGTCACACTCGGAGCTGATCTTCCATCATTTTACTTGTGCGACTAATTTGTCCTTCACCCGACCTCTGTGCACTACAACATAGGGTTCAAAGGCTCCGAGAATCGTAAGAGAAGTCAGATATCGAATTGCGGTTGATGCGTTTGCACACGAAATGAGCAACATTGTATAGAATATCTAAAGATCTAACTCATGTTAACTAATACAACTTTTCATCGCTTAACTCACCGAAGGGTTGCAATGAGATATTGTAATACATCACTATCTCTGAAGTAACTAAAAATTACTATAGAGATTGAGACTTATTGAGTAGTCAAATAATCAGAATCCACAGCAAAGTTTATACATTATTCCACTCATAACGATTCTCTCAATCTGATAGATTCTATCTCTATAAATTCTTGAGTACATTAATAATACATCTCACAAAATTTTTCTTATTTGACATAACAGTTGAAGGGTGAACCACGTAAATCTCAGTGTCCTTATTTTTCAACTGGCATTTACGGTAATTATTTAATTTTTACCGTGGTTATTATTTGTAGTGGATTCGATCGTCAATATCCAATACGTAATTATTGGAGCATTTTTCCGCGGGCGCTATTCAGGATAAGTTATAATCCCTACACAGTCCCAGTCGATAGCTATGGAGAAATTTTCGGATTCTGCCCAAGTAGTTCATATGCGTATGTCAATTGAGATTCATAGTCCTCTGGAAGTTGGTTCTCCTACAATTAATGGGAGGGTTAATGGGTTGGGCTTGAGATCCTTATTGAGTAATGAGGATGAGGATGCTGAGTTGGATATAGGGGAAGGAAAGAAATGTCCAAGGGTGGGCCGCAGCGTAGAAGTGTTTCATGAACCAATGCAAACAGCTGATGGTGAAGGGGAGGTTATGGGCCCTTTACAGGCCGATATTTCCTATGATACCCATAATGAATTACCGGTGGGACCTGTAAGCCAAGCCCACCGAGAACCATGAGTTGCATAAGCTAGAACTGCTTGGGCCTTGGCAACCCCCAGGCAGTGTTGGCTCTTTATGAGCTAGTTCGTCGCCATAAGCCAGAGTTTCTTTTCCTCGTAGAAACTTTGGTTGATAGAAGAAAAATAGAGGAAATAAGGATGCGTATAGGATTTGAAGGTGCGTTTGTGGTTGATTGTGTGGGACATAGTAGTGGTCTTGCTCTCTTGTGGAGATTTCAGTCCCATGTTTTTTTTTTTTTGAAGAAAGCTGGAATATATTAATCATCCAAACTTAAAATAGATATTACAAAGGGAGGGAAATCATGTGACCACTCCCCCACATTCGACAATGTTCTAGATGCTTGGGCAAGCCCATGAGCAATCTCGTTTGACGAACGATAAATATGTCTAAACTTAACTTCACTTCTAATCCGTGAAGAAATCTGACAAATAGAATAGATAATATCACCAAATACAGTACCATCCAAATAAGACTTGTCATTTAGTGCATTTATCACCATCAAGTTGTCACTTTCGACAACTAATTTGCTCCATCCTTTTCCTTCCAGCCAGCTTAAAGCTTCTTTGACTGCCATAGCCTCAGCTTCCTTTGGCCTTAAGCCCGTTCCAAACCTGCCAATCTTCAATCCCAGCACAGCTCCATTACTGTCTCTTACTACCACTCCAAATCCAGCACAAGAGTCGCCCACTGTCCCTGCCGCATCGACATTAACTTTAACCCAGTTAAGTTCAGGTCGCTGCCATTTAATCACAGTGGCAGGACGTCTTCCCACAACAGCAGTTGCCTTCGACCAATCCTCAATAAACCTCCACGCCCTCATCCATATAGCCATAGCCGATGGAAATTGTTGCTTCCATATCACATTATTGCGAGAATTCCAAATTTGCCAGCACACAGTCAATGCCATTACTGCATCCTTGTCATTAAAAATACGAAAAATTTGACTAAGCCATTCCTGAAAAGAGTTCACAATAGGCGAGTACCAACCTAAGAAAGAAGCTTGCCAAACTTGCTTTGAGAAAGAGCAATTAACCAGTAAATGAAGATCATTCTCATCACACTGACTACATAATGGGCAATGAGATGGAACCACCACTCTTTTTTTTCTTAGTTGATCACGAGTTGGTAGGATGCCATTAACTACTCTCCAGATAAAATTAGTGACCTGTGGTGGTGCTCTGATTTTCCATAATCGACTCCACACATTAACTGGATTTGAAGGCACAACTTGATGGGATTTTACTGTGAGAGCTTTATATGCTGACTTCACTGAGTAATTACCTCTCTCTTCAAACCTCCAAGCAACTGCATCTACTGCTCCAGCAATCAAAGGAGTACGCAAATTGAGATCAGCATCACGAGCATTAAATGTGTCCCTTATAAGCTGTAAATTCCACCGGCCATTATCAATCAAATCATGGACATAATAGACACCAAATCTAGGATCAAACGGAGTAGTAATGAAAGGACTAACAACATCCCTTAGCCACGGCTCAGTCCAAATAGCAATTCGTTCGCCTCCTCCCACCTTCCAGTAAAACCCCTTTTTGATAATCTCCTGGCTCTCCCGAATGCTTAAAATGGGAGAAGTGTGATCTAGACACGAGCAGTTGCCATACTTTTGAGGACCCTACACGACCGATAACCGCATCTGTCAACAAATCGAATGAAGATGTTGCGAGCTGTGGCATACTTGGACTAAAACGAACATCTGTAATCAGTGATGAATGTTCTTCAAGGATGGTCTTCGACTTTAAATTTTCTCTTTCTGTATCCCACAATGCCACCTTTTTATCATGTCCACCACTGGCAAGTAATTTTCCATCTGATGAGAACTCGCAACAAACTACTTTGTCTGCACTTGCTTTAACAGAATTTACTTCAACCAATATATAATATCCCTATAAAATATTGAAAATAATTTGCTTATATCCTTATATTTTAGAAAATACATTAATATATATCTAATTTTTGCTTTTATTAAATTATTTGGTCATTTTATCTGAATTATTGATCTTATTATATTGACGTCCCTAAAATTTAATTTATTACGTACAAGTATATAAACTTCAATTAATATTACATAAAAGCCAACTTGTTAAATTTTCGGTTAAAGACTGGATGGAGTGGTGACAGACTACATAATTAAACATTTAAAATAAAAAATTTTTCACCTCAATTATCAACTTTGATTTTCTCTCTCCTTGTTATTTTTTTCTTCCATTGTTTGATGGCTACCTCAGTCGTTACTGCCGGAACTGTGGGGTCCCTCCGACATGTGTGGTGTTCTGGACCCACACAAGTTTGAAAAAAAAAAAGAGAGAAAAGGAGATGTGTGGTGTTGTGGATCCACCCAAGTTTAAACAAAGAAAAAAAAAAGGCACGTTTTTTTTGTTGTTCAAAGGATGCTGCAGAGAAGAAAAGAAAAAGGAAAGAAAAATTGGCATGAAATTTTGACAAAGATGGAGAGCCGTGAATGAGTTACACACGGCTCTCTCGTAACCTCTCCTATAAATAGAGGTAGCGAATCCCTCTTCAATGTACAAAAAACAAAAGAATAGAAATACATAGAGTGTATAGAAAATTTTAGGAAAGGGTTCCTAAAATTGGGAAAGAAAGATATCAACCATGATTAAGTTGTCCTAAAACACCTTCAGTAAAATGCTATTTATCCAACGTTTGATTTTTCTCAGAACACTCGTCATACCATGGGAGAACGAATAATTATTCTCTAATCTTTTTATTCGCGGTCAGTCGTTTTCGCATGGGTCGTACTCAGGGACTAATAATTCACGAGAGATCAATACTGGACTTATTAAAATTATTGCGTCCTGACCTGATGCTGGAAAAACTCATATGAGTCCGGGTCGCCACTACAACTTCCAGCATCCTGTAACCGTTCTGGTTGTGATGCTTCATTCTCTTCTCGGAGACGGGCTGCCCCACATATCAAAGAACAATAATCACTACATCTGCACAAGAACAGATATAAAGACGAACTAAAGAAGCAGAGAGTAGGAGAAGGCGTCCAAGTAAAATCGAAACTTAATAATCCCTATGAAATATGGAGCCGTCGAATTCTCTCTCTTTAAGCTTTGGGAATCAATCGTGGGGACGAAAACATTCTTCCAAGACAGATAATGACACTACACGTCCAGGTTGGACATATAAACAGAGGAGTATCAACCACCAAAAAACAGTGCCACGTTTTTGGTATTATTGCCTCTTCTCTGTGATGATATATCAAGGAAAATGAGAGCGTCCCTTCTTTGGCAGCCACAGAGAGAGAGAAAGAAAAAAACGGGAGAGAGAGAATATGAGGCAAAAATATGAGTAAAATCATATCTGAACACACAACGCTACTGGCTGAAAAGCAGCCCAGTGACATTGCGATTCTTACCTACTCACGGCCTCTCTCGTGAGAGCTTCTCTTTAAAAACTCACCCTATAAATTAGACCGAGTTCACAGAGGTCACTATCGAATAATACGCCGCTCTCTTTCACAAATATATCTCATTAATAATATAAGATGAGAGAGAGGAGAGCATAAGAGAAATAAATATCCAGATAGCAAGGCGATGTATACCGAAAAATTTTAGCGTGACGAGAGGCGGTTCTCTCCACTCCACTCGCCACCGACGCATTCAAAAATGTCGGAGTGATTAGAGAGAAGTATGAATAAGTATCACCTGGGAATGATGCGCTTTCTATATTCTTCTCGGAGAGGTGATGCATCTCTTGAGAGAAGAAATCAAGCGATAAGTGAGAGAGTACCGCTCACTCATGCCTATTTCGCTTGTAATTACTCATTCTTTCTTGCGTTACTGGTAATACACTATTGTAATATTGGCTACTAGGGTCGAGACACAAGAGAGTAGAGGTAGATTAAAGAGAGTTCCAATTATGTCCCGTGGACTGTAGCGCATAATAGTTTCGAAACGTCGTGTCGAGAAGCAGTCTACTGGCTCTATATTTCTTTGGGAACGGAAAGATATACGCACTTCTTGAAGTTTTCGTTTCAAAATCTTCAATGAGTAATACGTTACCTTTAATATCGCACAAAGTATAATTAACAAAAATGGTTCACTCCACGTATGTTCTAAGTTTCCAATATATATATGGTCGAGTGGATTCTGCCTGAGTATCGTCAATAAATACCAATACAAAATTTCACCTGAGGTTCAATTATGATGGTAATCTAGTAATAATCGCATCTAATTTTACTTTACACCCCAACAGGAGGTATAATGTTTCGCAACGCTCATGCTTAATATAGCAGCTCCTTGCTCTCACCGTAAGCTCCCTCTCCTACTCTCGGAAGGTTATCCTTCAGTTGACAATCAAATGATTATTCCCATCTAACCACATCTGGAGAACACATCATCAGAGCAGGAATCCTTAATGGCTTAATAATGAGTAAATGCTGTGCGGAGTACACATTCTTCGCCTTGTAGCTCAAAGATGTTATTATTAATTTCCACCAAGATATGATAGATACGATGAAAAGATCACTTGCTCACTGTAGAAGCTAGTCCAACTAGTAATAATTTTCTTTTCGCTAACCTTCATGCCGAAATCCCAGAATTCGACATGGCAAAACGGATGGGGTCTCTAATGATCAATTGAAAACAAATTCGAATTACTCAATGTAAGAAATCCAGAATGGTAGGAATTACCAATTCAATTTGCACACCGATCACTACGATCCCAAATACATCTGCGAGAAGGCTGGTCTGATACCAGAGATGCAAAGCCAGAAAGAATATACTGAACATTTCACACGTACTAGGTGGGTCATAGAAATGTAAAATAGCACGACATTGGGTAACAATACTGTCCAAAACATTGGGAGAAATAACGGATGTTGGGCTTAGCCTTGTATTCGAAATACTACGCTGAGAAAATGAAAAGAGATCATAAGTCTCTGGAAGAGAATTAGAGAATATGCTACCCCGATGGTCTGACACGCACATGATCCTTTAACGCGCATTATATATGTGTCCTCCATTAGATTGTTTCCCGAGATATATAAGGCTACACTTGCTCATTAGTAAATATTCACGTTTCGAACTCCATTGCTGTCGCAAAAGTAGGGCCTAGTAAGATCAAAGATTTTATGAACGATCCAATCTCTCTCTGGATGATCACTCCTACCCCTCAAATTACGCCTGTGCTGAGTATAAATCCACAAAATAATGCAAGATCACCTCACTAAGCCCTGTATCCCAATTCTGCCACTCCCCATTCACATCTTTCAGCTGCTCAATTCGATTTCTCTTTTGTCTAGCAGATGCCTTAGCATGGAAAAAACGTGTGTTTTGATTACCCCCTTGCAGCCAATCTTCCTTTGCCCTTTGTTTCCAGAATAGCTCACGTTGCATATATATTTCAGCGATCCTTGCTCTAGCCTGTAGAAAGTTTTGACGATCCAACGGTGATCTCCTACCTCTCAATTGCTTTAATTTGTGTCTACACTCATCCAGCTCCACTTTAAATTTGCATCGATATTTCTGCCCCCACTCATCAAGAAATTTACTACAAATCGCAAGTTTCTCAACTAGATTAACACCTCCATGAAGTCTCCAACAATCCTCAACCACCTGATGACATTCTGGCTCCCTAGACCAGTGGTTCTCATAGCGGAACAAATGCACTCTCTGCCGGGGAACATAAACTTGAACTTGGATAAATAAAGGTAAATGGTCAGAAGTAGTTAAGTCAAGGACCAACCCTTTAGACATACGGAACAAATGCCGCCATCCCTCAGAGACTAGACATCGATCAAGCTTAGCTTCCACATGGTCAGTCCCTACCCGACCATTATCACAAGTGAACTGGTATCCGTCTAATTTTAAGTCCGAGAGATCAGCTCTCATAACAGCATTTTGGAATCCATGGAGTAAATTTGCCGGCTGTGGAAGGCCACCTCTCTTCTCAGAATTATATAAGATGTCATTGAAGTCCCCAACGCAAACCCATGGGAGAGTAGAAACCAAAGCAAGGTCACCCAACAAACCCCAAGTTTCATGCCTTCTACTTCTATTAGCCTGCCCATAGAAGCCTGTTAACCGCCAAGGCTCCAGCCCTTGAACAACCACTTTCACATCAATGAAATGAGGAGAAGAGCCTAATATAGTTACACTGCTAACCCCCTTCCATAAAAGAGCCAGCCCGCCTCTGTGACCATTACTATCGACTGCATAAGAATCATCATATTCTAATGAGGACTGTATTTCATTAACTTTATTTGAATTACAAATTGTCTCAACAAGAAAAATAAAATTAGGACGCTTTTCACAAACTATCTGTCGCAAATTCTGAACTGCCTTGGTATTACCGAGCCCTCGGCAGTTCCAACTTAACAGACTCATTGCTGTCGGCGGGCCTGAGTACCAGAACCCGCCGCTTTCCCGTTTTTTGGATCCTTGAAAGACTCATGTTGTTGGTCCGTTGAAGACCCATATTCTGTATTGATATCTTGGGCTATAGAACTCTCCTCCTCTTGGCC